AGCGTTTCCTGCAAAAACACCACCAAAAATATATATCCCAACTTTTCTTTCTTTTTCAGCACAATTGAAGGGTTTAATTAAAACAAAAAAAAAAAAATATATATATATATATATGAGTACGTTAATCTCTGTAAACTTACCAAATCCGCAATATTCGCCACCTGTATAGCGTCGTGTATGACCTCGGCACGTGTGCTGCCATTACGTTTCTCGTACATTGCTTGGTCCACAACAATGGCCGTTTCGATGTATTTGGTTGCTTCGCGTACATCGCGCTTATAACGGCCCGCACCGTTCGGATGTATTTCGTCGATGACACCAGCCGACAGCAGTTTTGGGCGACGTGACAAACGCCACGTCTCTAAATTACCCGAATTGGCGCATCCTTTATTGGCTTTAGTGCGTGCCTCAAATATCACATGCGGATGCTTCTGCTGGAACGAATTGGAAAGAAGGTATGAGAGGACAGCCAGAGCCAAGCTTAACGTAAATTTGTACAAAATTGAAATTAGTATGTCATAAAATCGTTAAGGTGTAAACGAATACTAAGATACTCTTTATAACAGTTTTAGTTTTCAAAAAAGATCAGCTGCCGCTCATTTATACAAAATCTTGAAAATATGTATTATAGTACTTCGATGTATATATATCCGATTTCCAATTTGTATATCTCTGAATTCTATATCGCTTCAGTATTTTATATAACACAATTTTTTGTGAAAAGAACACAACAGTCTTCTCTGAACTCTGAGAACGTGATCCGAGCATATTTGAATTCTCTTAAGTAGTTTTAAAAGATCGAGATTCGAAGATCTCTAAGTTGGGAAAGATGAATGATAAGTTCAATCGGTTTACAACTTATTAAGAGGTCGTTACAAGTAATCTATAATAAACAGTATTTTATGAGCTCCAGTTTGAAGTTACATGTGTAGTATCACACTCAGACCCTAAAGGTTAAGGTGGTTAATTCAACAGTTGTTTTGCTTAATTAGAGCTAATAGGGAAATGGGAAAAGGTGTTTATGTTATTTTATGAATGTTCCAAACCGAGCAAATATATAAGTAAAGTGTTAGGATGCAATTAAAGTCTTAAAATCTAATATGTTTAAGGTACATATCCTACACACCATTGAAGCCAAATCGTTCAAATTTTTTAATCTCTCTCACAGTGCAAAACTGACTGAAATCGAAAAATATTTAACACCGTCCATATTTTGTGGCTCATCTTTGATAGGAAGCTTTCATGAAAGCCGAATATCGAAGACAGGGTAAATAAGAAAAAACGTTAACTTTGGTTGCAGCGAAGCTAAATACCCTTCACAGATGCATTTCTTTTATCAACTATATTTTCAGTTTGTATGGAAGCTATATGCTATAGTAAACCGATCTAAACAATTTCTTCTGATATTACATTATTTTTATAAACAATAACTCATACCCAATTTCGTGAAGATATATCGTCAAATGAAGATATATCGTCACTGCAAGCATTTGATAACGATCATTCAGTTTGTATGGCAGCTATATACTATAGTAATCCGATGTAAACAATTTCTCCGGATATTACATTTTTGCTTTAGAAAATAATCTATACCAAATTTCGTGAATATATTTTGTCAAATGTAAAAGTTTTCCATACAAGAACTTGATTACGATCATTCAGTTTGTATGACAGCTATATGATATAGTGGTCCGATATCGCCGCTTCCGGCAAACGAGCAGTTTCTTGAAGAGTAAATAACACTTGCAAAATTTCAAAACGATGTCGTAAAAACTGAGGAATTAGTTCGTATTTATACATGCAGACAGACAGACGGACAGACAAACGGACATGGCAAAATTTACTCAGCTCGACATACTACTGATCATTTATATATAAACTTTATAGGGTATGCGACCCTTCCTTCTGGATGTTACAAACTTCGTGACAAACTTAATATACCCTGTTCAGGGTGTAAAAAGACATCGATTGACTTATACTGTTGTAGAGAAGCCACTGGCAAAAGGTGGAGTCTCCGACTGAAAGTTTTCCTCTGCTACTACGATATCATAGTCAAATCCACTATTATCTTTGGAGCCTTAATGTAGTGAAGAGACTACACTTGCAAAGAAACAATTAGCGTGATTCTTTAGGTATGCGTCACAGCTTGGGTAAGACGATTGGTCGAGGGGTTTACTGTCAGAAGTTTTCTATAAAATTCAGCTTCAGACTTTCTGGCTATTGCATTGCTCTCCAAATCGAGGTTGTCGCCATTAAAGTACCAATAGATTTGCTCTCGTGTCCTCTTGTGGATGAGGTGGAAACAACTCAACGCTTCCTTCTTGACTGTCCCGCTTTTGGGAGGGCAGGAGTTAAGTATTTGGGAGCGCATACTGGGATTGGAAATTAAGCACCTGTGTAAATTTGTGTTGTCTCATAAGCGTTTTTCAAATTCATAAGTTCGACAACAGGAGTTCTTCTTTTTTATCTCTTCATACAGCAGTCGAAGTGCTTTCACCCTAGATCAGCCATTTAGACTATGCCCCTTAGCAGTTTTGTTAAAAAAATTTAAAAACGGCGAATGCATCAGATATTTTATACCTACATTATACATTATTTGAGGATTTTATAGGAGCCGGAGTTAAAATTGGACGGTCACATTAATCCGCACCTACCGAACGAATAAAAATGTAAAAAATTGCGAAATATTTCACTTTCCAGTACACTAATCAAACAGCAATGAATGAATCGGGTAAAACTGGGCATGAATATTGGAAATGAGCACCAACTTGTAAACTCTGTCAAAACCGGCCGAAAACCCCCTGATATCGAATACGCTGACGCCAGTGTATTTTAAGTGAAATATCACCTAAGTTATTCGATATATTACTGACAGTCATACATTTAATCTGCGAAGTATAAAATGTTCGATTGCACCGTACTATGAAATTTTTTAAGGATAAAAATATATTTCCAGTTTTGAAATTATCGCTCGCAGTGAAATCCCCCATAAATAATTTTTTCCTGCACTGCTATATCTTAGTTTTTACCTCGACCAAAGATGCCACGTCTCACTGAGAGTTTACTATATATAAGTATACGAGTAATACGCCTAAGGCGTCCTCAAGAGAGATCGCTTTCAGTAAAAGTAAATTCTAGCTTACTCTTCAAAATTCAATAGCTGAGCTGTATGCTGTATATTTTTAGATGGGATTTTCATTATGGTCTCATACATAGCGTATACATGTATGCATTTATGCATTTGGTAGCAACAAATGAGATTTGCTCTCACCGGATAACGCCTAAAATAGAATTTTCATTTTTAGAAATTTTTCTGCCAACTCGACGCTGTGTGATGCCAAACCTAGAAATTTTTCCTATAGAATTCCACAAGGGGAAACACGGCTTGTGCATATGTGTGTGCGTATATAAAGGATTTTTCCAATGAAAATTCAAATTTGTATCGTTGCGCGCAAAAATGTCATCAAAATTTTGACATGACTTTTCGAAATTTATTCAAGGCACATTCGCGCCGATACAAGCGATTGCAACGCGTGTGACGCCCCAACCACACATTTAGGGGAGGCGTGCAAGTATAAGGCGGCTAACACTTTTGGGCATGTGGCTATATGCGCATATGTGTGCATGTGTGCGAGTGTGTGGGTTAACTGATGTCGGGGATCAAATGCCGGCTCAATGACGCTGGCGGCCACGCGCTAAGTGTGAACTCTTGGTGTCAAATTTGGCAGCGAACAATGTGTGGGCGCACAACCACGCAAACACATGCTCGCACATACATGCCATATGCACGATAAAAACCGCTGCTTTTACGTATGTATGTATGTGCACACATGTATTTGCGTTGAAAGCGATTTCGCAGAATTTGCGCTTGGCGAATGAGCCACTGGCATGCGCGGCACCGCGCGCACCGCAGCCGTGATTCTCTGGCGAACGGAATTCTACTCAACTTTGGTTGTGTTGCTAGTAAATTAATCGCTGTTCGACAACGTTCCGGTCACCGCCCACACCTTCCGATATTGTTTGTGTATCCCTGTACTTTTTGTTTGATTTCGGTTTTGGCTTGACTCCCCGAACCGATTCATCAAAGCGTTTTTCGCTGCCACTGAAATCAAATTCAATTTCGTCGTCTGCCATACACATATACACAAATAAACACATATGTGTGTATGTACTCCGTCACAGCGTCCGCCCACCGCTTGCTGACTTTATAATGAGCAACAGTTCGTCGCAAGGCGGCAACAGCTGCCACATCTCCGCCCTCCGCCAGCAAATACTTTGGCAATGACAATGTGGACCAAAACATTCACACACTTACACACATATGCTCACACATACACACAATATCCATTTACGCCTACTGGCACTTGCTTGAGTCGCGCAACTTTAACATTTTAATTAAATTTTAATTACTTTTGATGGCGCAAATGCCATTCGACGTTTACTTGGATACTCGCTGGATTGCCTGGTAACGAGTACAATTCCAGGCTTGTTATTGCTTAACGAGATGTGCGTGTGTATGTGTGCTTTAAATACGCACATCATGGTTCGAGTGATTGAGAGTAAAGACTGACGAAAATCGAATTTTCAGTGATTTATATAAATGTATACATGCGCAACATGTACTTATGTATGTATGCACATATATGTATATAGCAAGATGTTCGCGTGTTTACTTATAAAAATTATAAGCTGAATATAACATATTATTAAATTTTAAATTTCATCTAATTCTTTCACTTTTCAGTACACAAATTAAGCACTAATGATATACCGGGTTGAAACTTTGCCCAAAATCTGCCTTTGAAGTGTGCCAGCTTATGACCAAAAAGTACACAAACCGGGCCAAAAGTGTTTTAGCACCATGGACTGAATATATAGACCCCAGTTCTACTGCGAACTTTTTGTCGAAAATATAAGCCATTCTGTGATATTTATTTTAGAGACTCAGAAAGAATTTTTTTCTGATAATAATGTGCTCGTGTGCCAAATATTCCTTGAATCGGATAAATAATTAATTCAGTCTACAAATACCTAATAAAAAAGACTTTCGAAATTCCGGTTGATTTTAAATACTTTCGTGATGCTCCAAACGTAAGAGTTAACGTCTGTTGAAATCTTCGATTGTTTCCTTTCAGTAAGCAACTTTGGATCCCGGCGGAGGACATCGCTTTTCACATAGAGGCCCCACTACGTATAACTTAATTTTGAAAAGTTTGAATTACTTTTAAATTTAAATTCGCTAAACCACCACATATTTTAATACTGGATGTTCAGTCTAAGTACTACCTTTTAACTTAGCAATTTATTCTTCAGATTGAGGTGGTATCCTAAAGAGCCGGTAAAGCTTCAGCATTTTTAATCTTAGCTGAGTTCTACGTGATCTTTTCAAGTGCGCCTCTTACCAATTGTAATACAAACATACTTTTCACAT